CTCTCTCGTTCTGATCTTCGTGAAGATCATTGTCAGTGGGGTCAGGTTCTTGAATGGATTCGTCATCGGCTCTTTCAGTACTGATTATCTGATCTTCTGCTCCATCCTTTTCAAGATGATCCTGTGTATCTTCATCGGTTTTTGTAGGTTTCGTTTACGTTTCATGATGCTAATGATTATGCTGAAATGACTTATACATTGGCTGATATCGACTTCTTCTCTCGAAATTGGATAATCTGCTGCATTATCTCTCTCATTCTGATCTCCGTGAGGATCATCATTGTCACTTGGGTCATCAGATTCTTGAATGGATTCATCATTGATCTTTCACTAATAATCTGAGCTTCTGCTCCATTCTTCTCAAGATCAAGAGGATCTTCCTCAGCATCTTGTAGGCTTCTTTCGCGTTTCATGATGTTAATGATTAATGAGTGTGCTGACCTCTCTTTGCTTCCTGTTTGTATTATATTTCGTCCTTCTTCAATTTTTGTTTCTCATGTATTATAATTGCCTTATTTTCACTGGCAGCGAGTTAACTTTTTTTTTTTTCCAATTTTTTGGGTGTTAAACTTGCTTTGCCAAATTAGCACAATTTTTCAAAAAACAAAACAAAAAACAAAATTCAGCGTCAAGCAATACAAGTTTTTTTTTTTTTTTCAAAGCCATAAAGGAAGTGAGGGGATCTAAGAAAGAAGGAAGAAATTGTACTACTATTATTTGCAAGCAATTATAACAAATTTTTTGTCCTTAACTTAAAAAATAATTCATAAAAAATATTGACTTGAAATTTTTTTTCCCAATTTTTTGGGTGTTAAACTTGCTTTGACAAATTAGCACAATTTTTCAAAAAAAAAACAAAAAAACAAAATTCAGCGTCAAGCAATACAAGATTTTTTTTTTTTTCAAGCCATAAAGGAAGTGAGGGGATCTAAGAAAGAAGGAAGAAATTGTACTACTATTATTTGCAAGCAATTATAACAAATTTTTTGTCCTTAACTTAAAAAATAATTCATAAAAAATATTGACTTGAAATTTTTTTTCCCAATATTTTGGGTGTTAAACTTGCTTTGCCAAATTAGCACAATTTTTCCAAAAAAAAAACAAAAAACAAAATTCAGCGTCAAGCAATACGAGATTTTTTTTTTTTCCCAAGCCATAAAGGAAGTGAGGGGATCTAAGAAAGAAGGAAGAAATTGTACTACTATTATTTGCAAGCAATTATAACAAATTTTTTGTCCTTAACTTGAAAAATAATTCATAAAAAATATTGACTAGAAAATTAATTATTTGCCATTTTTTCATTTGTTCTATTTGGAAAATGCTTTTACGATTTCTTATTTGATTGATTTTTTGAAAATTTCTATTTTAGCTTTGCTATTTGTATGTATACATGCATGCGTGTAAGCATGGATGCGTGTATTTCAATTTGTTATACTCTTTCTTTTTAGATTTTAAACTGAGATTAAAAAAATATTATCCTTGAATTTTAGATATTTAAAAATAATTAATATAACCATTTTTCTGAACTTGAAAAAATAATTCTTGAGAAAGGATTTGTTAAAAAATGTTAATTTTGTTATAAATAATAGAAACTGAGAAGGAAAATGAGATATATAGTTTAATATCAATGAGAGAAATATTTCTTATCTGCTTATTTATAAGAATAGGTTTCCAGCTCAAATATAATGTAAAAATCTACAAATTGATGATAATGAAGATACTGAAAGAAATAATAAGATAATGGACAGTTGTAAAATCTCCAACCAAAACTTTTCAACTTTTCACTTTGAGAAAGTGCTTTTAAGTAAGTAAAAAATTATTTGTTTGAATTTAATTTGACAAAATATCATTTAAGGATTCTTGTAGCATTTTAATATCAAAGAAGAACCTTACAAAATGTTATCTTAAAAAATTAAGATGTTCAATTATAATCTTATTCAAATAAAGTCTATTTAAATTTGAGCTTATTCAAGTGATGTGAATAAGCCCAAAATAACAAATTAGACTCTCAAGCCAACCTTAAAATTTTTTAGATTATTCAGGGCTGGCTTGTCAGAGGTGACTCAAATTTCAGCTCTAGGCTTCAGATATAACTTTCTTGAGACTGAAATTCACAAAAAAAAAAAGGACTCAAATTTTATTATTGATTCGAAAAAAAACCTTTCTACTAATGTCTCACAACTCTTAATGTTTACAAGTAATAGCAAAAGAAAACTTGATAAACATTCTGCTTTAATATGCTCTCCATCGCCTTCAAAGTTCTTTGACCTTTACAGTTTTTTTTTTAATTTGAAATTTCACAACTAATTTTGTAAAAATTGAACTAAGCTGTTATTTGGATTATTCTAAACTTTTATTAAGAGGACATTTGTAAGAAATAAAAAAATAAAGATATAAGAGTTCTATTTATCTAAGAAAAATAATAACAACTATGAAACTCATTAACAGGCCAACCAAAGATGGCTTCAGTTCTCAAAATCGCTGCTCTGTTTCCTGTTTTCTTTATCCAAGAAAAATAACCCAGCTCTTTGGAAGATTATAATTTAATATACAAAAATCATGTTGACATGATTCTTTTAACAGTATATATATTGAAATCTCCTGACCCTCTCATTCCACTGAACGCTTGCCTGCGCATGTATAACAGCACTCTGATTGATTGGAGGATGGACCATCACTCATCCAGTTTGGGGAGCTAGGAGGGGAAGCCATATACAAGTAAGAAATTCCAAGCACAAATTGGTCACAATAATTAAAAAAGTATAAATAATAAACTATTAGTGTTATCGTAGAGCCCAATTATTTAAGCCCAATGCAAGATTTTCAAAGGCTGAGGCTTCGACTAGGCATTCTTTCACTTCACACACAACATTATGTTGCTACGTGGAGGTTTTTGCATAAAGCAGATGTTGCCTCTTTTCACTGTGCCACAAATAAAAGAAAAGTTAAAATGTAAAAATACTCATAAAATATTTCATGAGGAGCTACCGTACCATCCTTAACTGAAGAATATATAGTAGAATTTTATCTATCAATTCTAAAAAATGGTACAAAACTCCCAAAACCGCAACAGAAACCTGACATCCGTTGAGTAAGGATTGTGAATCTCACAAGTTACGTCATGTGTGTAAATGGGATATAGCAGCAAATATATCCATGAAATAATACATTATAATGCAATTTTGCCCATTGATCAATCCTAAAAGCGGCAGCAAATGGTGAACATGAACGCTAGAAACATTGAAATTTTATTTGATATAAACTACGTGCATAGAAATATATGCCTTCAATTTTGTCCTAATAAATAGATGAAGGTAATCAGGTGCAGACATTTTATTTTGTCGCACATTACAGCCAAATCTCTCTCTCTCTCTCTCTCTCTCTCTCTCTCTCTCTCTCTCTCTCTCTCTCTCTCTCTCTCTCTCTCTGTGCGCGCGTGCGTGTGCGCGCGTGCTAACCAAGTTAATTCACACTCCCTTTCCTCTCCTCCTAATTGTAAAGTGTAACAAAATAAAATAGTATACTTAGGATTAGTGTTAGTCAAGACAATTGCAAACATATATATGTATTTCTTTATTTACACTTTGGGTGAAATAAAATTTCAATTTATTTATTTATTTTTTTACATACACAGTCAATGTTTGCTGGCATGTCTTTGTTTTTACATGGGGATTCTTGCACAATTATATAGGATTTTGGGCAAAATTGCACCATATATAGTATAGTACGTTATTGATATTTTTCTCCTTAACTTGTTTACATGTGTGACAAGCATGCAAGACCTACTAACTCTTGCTTGATGGATATTTAATTTCTGTAACAAATTGGAAAGTTTGCACTATATTTTAGAGTTGATGGTAAAATTGCATCATATTTGAGGTAAGAATACCAGTCGCTTCTTACAAAATATTTTGTAAGCATTTTTGCATCTTAATCGATAAAAGAAAGTCCTGGGAAGGATTATATGGGTTTGAAGGGAGTTTACGACCTACAAACCTGATTAAATTAAATTTGAGGATCATCATTGCTCTGAAGAAACATTTAAATTGGATTTGGTAGATGCAGTGAATTTATGGTTCAATCATGGTATTTACTCGACTCGTGTGAGGTATCAATTTTTTTAACTGCTAGCATCCATTTTCTACATGCCATAGCCGAAGGATCGTAGTTTTGCCACTTGACTCTTATTGTCGTTGCTTCAAGGGACGACACAAACCTAGGTTGAACTCATTTCAAAAATTTTGGTTTGCCTCTAGCAAATTTGCACACCATTTCTAAAGTCCAATGCAATTCTCAGTCCCGAAGCTTCAAGTGATGGAGGAAGAAGTGCTCTGAATTGGTCTTCGCTAATGCAAGTGTTTCACATATCACAGAAGCTCCCTCTAGAAAATACTCGAAGACAGTTTGCTTGGGTTCATTCAGAGCTTAAGCCAAGAAGGAAGAAATATTGTTATACTTTTAATATTCATTGCACTACTATTATTTCGTAATCATAACAAATTTTCATTTTTATTTCTCAAATTGAAGAATACATCTTAAAAAGAGGAATGGGTGGTTCTAAAATTTGGACATTTTTCGTATTTTGAATTTTAGGGATATATATTTTCTAATAAATATTGACTTGAAAAATAATTATTTTAAAATTTTATTTTCCAATTTTTCATTTTTTTCGTATTTGACATATGTTTTGACTTTTCTTATTTGATTTGTTTTTATTCAATGCCAGTTTTAGCTTTGTTATTTTGCAAAAATATATTCAAACATCCTATTATACATGTCAAAATCAATCATAAACTTAAAATCATAATTTTATTAAAAATATTCACACGCCAATTATTATAAATGTCAAAATCAAAATTATGACAAAAATATTTTTTTTAAATATCCTAACACTCCTAAACTCAATTAATTCATTCAAACAGTCGACTAAATTTGATTAATTCCAACCAAAATCAAATTTGCAAACATTCATTCAAACACAATGTCAATCATTCCACTACTGCACAATCAACAACTATAAAAGTGCTTGCTTCATGAAATTAACAATGGCCTGCAAAGCTATAATTTTAAAGAAATGATTTGGCATGATTGTCAGCATAATCTTGAGCCCAAACCATGTTGAGTCGTTCACGACATTGCTTCAACTTCGTATGTTGCTCTTCAAGATCCTTTTGCATCCACGGCAAAGCAATATTTGAGTTGTTTCGTAATTCCTCTATAGCATCAAGACCATGCTCTCCAAATATACGTTCCATAATCCTTAAATGTGAAACCCTAAAGTATTCTTCCATACGAAGTGGACCCTTATTCACGTTGATCTTATTCTCAAGTATGTTCTTATACACTTCCTTCACACGTTCAGAGGCTGACCTCAGAGACCCTAATAACACGTCCACTTCAAACTGTTCATCTTCAATTTTGAACAATTCTTGCTGATTCTCATTGAACATTAATATCTTGGATTTAGAAGGATGTTGAGGACCTTGAGGGTTCAATACGAAGCGATCGTTTAACACTGAAGCATCAAGCTCAGATCTACGACTTGCTTTACTAGGACTATGATAATTCTCAGGCAAACGCACGTAGCTGATATAACGTTCACATTTGCTGAGATCGATCTTCCTTGGCTTCTTTTTAACTTTAATCTTATATCCTTTGGGCAAGAACTTGTTTAATCCCAAAATCAACAAGTCGTGCCCCTCCAATACTTCCTTGATCTTTGCTGCCAAATCTGCAATGTTACACCTGCAACAAATTAAAAACACAGGTACATGCATACGTTGGTAAACTTGAATATAAGTTGATGAGAAAAAGAAAAAGAACAAGAAAAGGATTTTGAAACAATACTTAATATATAGGCCTATTTTAAAGTTTCTTTTTTAAAAAAGTGGCAAAATATAGGGTAAAAATAAAATAAAATAAAAAATATGGACACTTGAGATCCAATGTTATTATTTGACTTCATTGTTGTGGGCACATGCGAAAAAATTGGATTTAATAAGTTATTTTTAGTTATTTTTTTTTTAAGTTTCAATTATTTTGTGGGCACTCTTCAACAAAAGTAAAGAAACAAATAGCGGAGGGGAATTATATTTACCCTTGAGCCAAGAGATCTCTGAGGATTCTCAAGAACATATAAAATTTTTCGCTTTTGCGGTCAAATGTTTTTTCCACTGCATTCACATAGTTTAACGCATCCATATAAATACGCGATTCGCCTTCATTGGCTTCAGACCTTTTGCTCTCTTATGGACCGACATGATCTTCACCATGGAAATACTGCGAGACTGAATCAGTCTCATCGTCATCAGAAGCATTTTCTTCAACATCTTTAAAGCCTTCACCTTCTTTTTCAGGAAGACGCACGTAGCTGACATAACGTTGACATTTGCTAAGATCGATTTCTTGAACTGATGATTTACCATCGCCTTTAGTTTTCTTCTTCCTGGGCTTCTTTTGAACTTGAATCTCAGATTTATGAACATTATCAGGAAGATTGAGACGTTGTTCATGAGAAGGAGGGATCTGATATCTTTTGGGCAAGAAGACATTTAATCCCAAAATCAAAAATTCATGCCCATCCAATACTTCCTTCATCTTTTCTAAGAAATCTGCAATGTTAATCCTGCAACAAAAATGCATGTAGATATATACGTTCGCAAACTTGAATATTTTCATTAAAGTTAAAAAAAAAAAGGATTTTAATAAACGACATTTAAAAATAGGGCTATTTATTCCGAAAATTGGAATTATATTTACTTATCAATATATATATATATATATAACTACTCTTGTGTGAAAAACAAAGAAAAAACAAAAACAAAGGTGGGGTAGTTTACCTTTCAGCCTTGAAATCTCTCAAGATTGCTACGAACAATTCATATTTTTCCCTTTTGCTATGAAATGTTTCTTTCACTGCTTTCAAATAGTTTTCTGCATCCATAATTTGTAAGACACGATGCGATTGATCATCCCCATCATTGGATTCCTGATCACTTTCGTATGTTTCCCTCTGTCCAGCATCATCAATGTCAGGATTTTCGTCCCTATCTCTCCCGTTCCGATCTTCGTGAAGATCGTTGTCAGTGGGATCAGCTTCTTGAATGGATTCATCATCAGCTCTTACAGTACTGATTATCTGATCTTCTACTCCATCCTTCTCAAGATGATCATGTGGATCTTCATAGGCTTCTTGTAGGTTTCGTTTACGTTTCATGATGCTAACGATTATACTGAAATGGCTTATACATTGGCTGATATCAACTTCTTCTCTGGAAATTGGATAATCTGCTGCATTATCTCTCTCATTCTGATCTTCGTGAGGATCATCGTTGTCACATGGGTCATCAGATTCTTGATTGGATTCATCATTAGATCTTTCACTAATCTGATCTTCTGCTCCGTTCTTCTCAAGATCTACAGGATCTTCCTCAGCTTCTTGTAAGTTTCTTTCACGTTTCATGATGCCAATGGATAACGATTGTGCTAACCTCTCTCTCTTTCTGTTTATATTTCGACATCCTTCAACTTTCTTTTTTCTTATATATTATAATCGCATTTATTTTCACTGGTAGCGAGCTAACTTTTTTTTTTCCAATTTTTGTGTATTAAACTTGCTTTGTCAAATTAGCACAATTTAAATAAGAAAAATGCAATGCCAAGCAATACAAGAGTTTTTTTTAAAAAAAATATTCAAGCTATAGAAGTGAAGGGATCTAAGAAAGAAGGAAGAAATTGTACTACTATTATTTTGCACGCAATCATAAAAAATCTTATTTTTCCTTAACTTGAAAAATAATTCATAAAAAGAGGAATTGATAATTTTTAATTTTATATATTTTTGTAATTTTAAATTTTAAGGATTATTTCTAAAAAATTGACTTGAAAAGTAATTTTTTAAAAAACTTTAATTATTTTCCAATTTTTCATTTTTTGTATTTGGAAAATGTTTTCACCTTTTCTTATTTGATTTATTTTTTTTGAAAATTTCCCTTCTAGCTTTGCTATTTAGCCTTTTGTCATATGCATATATGCATGTAAGCATGGATGCATGTATTTCAATTTTTTAAACTCTTTATTTTTAGATTTTAAATTGGGATTAAAAATATTATCCTTGAATTTTTAGACACTAAAAAATAATTAACTATAACATTTTTTTCTGAATTTGAAAAAATAATTCTTGAGAAAGGATTTGATAAAATAATTTTTCAAAAAATATTGACTTGACTTTAAAAATAAAAAATATTAATTTTTTGTAAATAATAGTAACTGAGAAGGAAAAGAAGATATAGTTTGAGATCAATGAGAGAAATCTTTCTTATATTTTGATATGTAGAATACAATTAAGATGCCTATTTATAAGAATAATAAGATAATGGACACTTGTAATATTTGTATTTAAAACTTTTCAACTTTTCACTTTAAAATGGTAATTTTGCACTTTCAGAAAGTAAAAAGTTATTTGTTTGGATTTAAAATTTGGGAAAGTGTCATCTAATTAAGGATGCTGCTAGCATTTTTAATATCGAAGAAAAACCTTACAAATATGAACTATCATTGCACCCCCTAGGACTTATGTAAACATAGGATTTTGGGGGGAATGACCTAATTACTCCTATGGTGTTTTATAAGTCTTGCTTTAGCATAAACAATCATGCATTCGGTTCCATGTATAATTGAGAAATGACATTCGTCCACGAACATATTATAACAATTGATCATAAACCTAATTTAATGCTATAAGTCATGCTTTAATATAAACAACAAAACATTCGCCCATTTACAAGTTATCATTTGACTATAACAATAAACTAAGCATTTAAGATTTTGTAAGTTGTTTATATATGAATATCTATTTGTTAATTACATACAATAACTTATTAATAATTAAATACTTTGTTGTTTTAACCGGAGCAAGACTTGTAAAATGATACAAGGGTAATTAGGTTTTTTTTCCCTCCCAAAATCCCCTTTTTTTCATATTATGCCTGTGGTGAAGTGATATTTTAGATCTTTAGAGTCTTTCTTTGATATTAAACTACTATAGAGGTCCTTGGATGATATTTGCCTTAAAATTTTGCCCAAAGCAACTTCTCAAAGCCACATTTCCAAAGTAAATAAAAGTGAATTTAATGGATGTAAAATGGTGGAATTTTTGAAAAATGAATGAGTGTTGGCCATTTATTTGATCATGTTACCCCAAATTTAATTTATTATTATTTTATTTAAAAATACTGTTAATCCATTAAAAATATAATTATCATTTTAATAAGAATACTTAGAGATCACATTTTCAATATAATAGGCTAACCAATAAATCATGTTAATTTTCAACATTAATATATATTGAATTTTTTAAATAATGAAAATTACAAATAATAAAAATTAATATCCTGTTTGGTAATAGTATATTCAAACTAACTTTTACAAAAATGTGTAATTAAATATAAATTTTATTACAATAAATGATTTTTAGTAAATGAAAGAATTACAAAACACCACTCAATTAAATTATTTGCAAATAACAACTAATACGGAATACATTATTGTTAAAATAAAAATAATTTTTTTAATAGAACTTGTTATTAGTCCCTATTTATGAATAATTTACTTGAGTAATCCTTAAATATAATTCTCCTTTATTAAATTAATTTTTTTCAAATAAACTTTTGTTAAATTAGGTCTTCATCTGATTTTGGGCCTCTTCTTCAATTTGCTATACAATTTTTTGAGTTAGAACTTTCATATGTTTTTTTTTTTTTGTATAAATCATCCGGTATTCTAGGGAATTTTGGGTTCATTGCCCGCTCCAGACTAATCCGGACCCCTTGTGAGGAGATCTTATGGTAATAGTGAGATACTGATAAGATGATCTCTTTAAAATCATATTAATTATCGCATCTATTACTTTTCAAGATTTGAACTCTCGCATTGAGAAATGCCATTAAGAACTTTCATATGTTGCATTCATGTTTGTTCCTTTCTTTTCTTCTCACTGTCAAAATATGCAAGGCCCAGTGTAATTTTATCATCGAGTTCTGTCTGCACTGGGCCACATGTATTGTTTGTCATACAGTTTTCTTTAACCTTTTCTTGTCAGTCGTTCAAAGCCCAAGCAGTGCTAGTCATTTATCATGCCCTTGCTTTCAAATGTTATCATTTCATTTTTTTTAATAAAATTTGATCTTTATGTAAAAAAATACATATATAAACTTTTCACCAAAAAGCATGTATATTGATTTAATTTTCAAAAAATTTTAATTAATTACCATATTTCTTTTGATTTCATTGGCTTTAAACGTTTGCAGTGTGTAATGTCTCCAAATACCTATTTCAATTGAAATCATAATCTAATGTAATCAAGGGCTTAGCTCCAATAAGGATTACCAAACTTTTAATATATAGAAGTGGAATTCTAAATTTTTATAATTTAAAATAAATCAAAATTATTCATTAAACTTTAATTAAAGTAAAATAATATTTTAAAAGTATGAAATACTTTAGAGAAGTGAATAGATTCAAAATTAGTTAAAAAAATAAGTTCTAAAAAACAGAGTAATGTGCTACGGCATGTGCACATGCACCACAACGGCTCCTTTTCTATGCCACACTTCGCGATGCAGAAGCCATGCACCATGACATGTTGTACATTTTTTATAACAACTTTCTTGTCATTTAACAATAAATTCAAGCAATTTTTAATTCATCTCACTTCTCCGTTTGATATCTGAATGAGATAATTTAGATATCTATAGAAAGTTTTTTTCATAAACTAACCAATGACATAAGTTTTACTTCCAAATTAAGTTACACCAGAAAGTTAGTTGTCCAAATACATTTTCAATCATTTTCACAAATTTTACAACACAAGGATGTCCAAAACCTCATACAAGTATCAAATGTCATTTCTAATACCCAGAATATACTTAATAGACTTAGGATTACCTGTACAACACATCACATACACATATATACTACATATCAAATTTTCACTCCTCAACCCACCTTTAATTTTTTTTTTAAAGAAGGGGAGGTTTTTACCATGGCATAATCCAATCAACATCCATAGTTAAAACCAAATCAATAACCCTATAGTTGCACTAGTATTTTCACCTTATTAAACACTTGGACAACTTACAAACAACAACACAGGGCCCAAAATACATTTCAAAAATCATCAACATCAAAAGTACAAATGTATGTAAAATATAACTTAATTGGCAATAATTTAATCATTATACAAGATAAATAAATTAAGGAGGCATCACAAAAGGAATACTCAAATTCTTAAGCCTCCAGAGCCTTTTTTTCTTTCTGCACCAGAGCTAGAGCCTATAAAATATTAAAAGAGAAGGATAAGTCTAGCCACTCAATAATCAAAGTACACATACCCTATACAGTTGTATATCAATTGAAAGAAACACATATAAATGGAGTTGATTTTCTTGGAATATATATACTGTTACATGCAACACAATTTGTCATTTCTCAATTTAATTCATTTTTACAATTCTCCTCTTGAAACCCACAATACATTGCTACAAAACACACAAACATGTAACAATGACCTAATTTCTTATCACGACTTGCCAAAACTTAAACAACCATGTGACATGTCATATAAACACATATGCATGATCGAACCATTCTTATACCCTCATTATTTCCTCAGATTTAAACCATGAGCTATGTATATTAATTAAGGCTCCGTCTGTGTGACTAGGCTACCCAAACTCACCAATTGTGAGGTGTGACCTGGCCAAAGATTACAGTACTCACTTTCAGACCACGGTTTCCCTCACTTTCAAATCTCTAGGGTGTCATATACCCTTAGCTAATATTTCAATAAACAAGTGGAGATAGTTAAGTTTTAGTCTATTGACAAACTATAGGATAATCTCTTGACAAACAGTAGGATAAGGCTAAGCCTTCGTGCATTGAAAGGTAGCTATAGATACCATATGAATTTTATCTACTCGTCTACCTAAGCGCTCCCGCCATATGATCATAAAAAGCACGATACTCACTCATTTCACAATTTCATTAATTTAATATCAACATATTGGGTTTACAATAATATACTATCTAAACGAGCATTAATCTTATTTTCACAACATTATCCACTTCCATTGTCAATTTTATACACCATTCTAATTCTCATTTAGCCTCACATGCCATAATCACATACTAACACAACCACATCATCATCATATCACATATTATATATCATAAATTCTTCATTTCAATGCATATCCATAGTTCGAAACATTCCTTTCGAATTCAACTTCACATTTATGTGAGATCAAGATTAATTAATATACTAACATGTGGCTCATAGCATGCTTTCACATTTATATTTTCAATCTTGCATGTAAGTAAACCTATTTTTACATAAAAATTCAATTAACAAATAACTAATTAAAGTATTTCTGTTAAAAAAAACAACTAATTAAAGTATGGTTTTTCCAATTACCTCAAACCTTTAG